AGATGATAGATAGATAGACAGATAGATGATAGATAGATTAATGATGATTGATAGGGAGATAGATACAATATGCTTACTAAGAAAATTTTCTTTTCCCATTCAGTGGGTTCTTTCTTCACTTTCTTTGGAGCTCTTTGATGCACATATTGTTTAATTTCTGCTTAAGTAAAATTTATCTAATTATTTCACTTCTTATGCTTTAAGCTTCATACTAAAGATTTATTTGCAGATTTGAAATTATTACGACTTATCCAGAATGAGAGCTGATTGCTCAGTAGTTAAGAGCATTGCCTCTCTTGCAAGGAGCTGGGTTCAGTTCCAAGCACCCACGTGGTGCTAACAACCATCCATAGCTCCAGTTCCAGGGGATCTGATGCCCTTTTCTGACCTCCATGGGCATTGCATGACATGGGTGCACTTACATACACAGAGGAAATACACTCATACACATAAAATAAAAATAATAAATAAAATACTTTTTAAAGAAGATTTATCCCTAAATGTCTTCAAAATGTTTTATAATTTTAGGTCTTATATCCATTTTGAGTTAATTTTTGCATATAATATAAATAGAAGTCTTAAAATATTTCCACCCAATCTTTCCCTGAGAGTGGAGAAGAGAGAGCATGACACAGGTATTCAATTTGGGAGAGGCCCTCTGCAGTCTTTTATTCTCTCCACATACTGACAAGCCACAGGCCTCTCTGTTAATCACTACCTGTTGCAAAAGGAGGCTTTTTTGGTAATTGTTAAGAGATGCACAAATCTATGGGTATAACAATGAGTTAGTATGACTTACTTTAATACTATGTCTATTTAGCTGAATGATAATAGTAGTTTCTCCCCTACAAGCTGTGACTTGTCTAGCCACAGGTCCTTATCCCTGAAAACATTTCCAGGTATGGGCTCCATTTTTTGAAGTAAAGCTTAAATCAAATCAGAAGGTTGTTGGTTACTCCTATAACATCCATGCCACTATTGCACCAGCAGGCATATTGTGCCAGACCAATTATTGTAGCTACAGAGTTCACAGCTATGCAATGTTAATGTTTACCTTTCCCTTCCAGTGGTATGCACAGCACCTTCTAGTACTATGAGAGCTAGCCAGTAGAGATGAAGCTTTGAGGTCAATACAAGCTTGATTTCTACTTGTCTATGACTTGAATTTGTAGTGTCTTCACCAATAGGGTCTTACTCTCAATTTCTTGAGTAACCAAGAGTAATGTCAATAGTCAGTATTGTTTTAAGGTCTATGGGACCTCTCTGGTCAACAATTCCACAAAAGGGGAGTCCTTTATAGACACTGGGCTTTTTTTTTTCTAACCTGTGGTGTTCATTGGGGCCATCCATTATAGGGTAAACTATATTTAAACTTTTGTTGTTGTTGTCTTTTTGAGATGGGATCTCCCTGTCATGCCAGCTGTTCTGGACCTCACTCTGTAGACTAGGCTGGCCTCAAACTTACAAAGATCTGCTTGCTTTTGCCTCCCTAGTGCTGAGATTAAAGGCATGCACAACCACACCCAGTTTAAACTCTTTTTATGGGATATATATATTTCTACAATAGAACGTTTCCATATGACTTCCTCAAAACTCGAAAGGCCTTTAATGTTAGTTATCCCTGCCCTATCCTAATCCTTTGGGCATATCCCCAAGAATAACACAGTTGGATCATGTACTAAATCTATTTTTGGCATTTTGATGACTACAAGGAAACCTTGTTGTCTGGAAACCACAAGGTGGTTGCAAATATAAACCCTCAGAGCTTGTAACAGCAAGACATGTCCAAGCCCAAGCCCAAGTCAGACAAAGACCTGAATGGATGGGAGAAGTAGGTGGAAAGCACCATCCCTAGCTGAAGAACTATTAGCAATTGATAACTGCTAGGAGAGCACATTTTCTTTAGGGGTGTGAAACTTAATAGATACCAGACTCCTAGGGATAAACCCATACCCAAGACTGTTTGGAGAACACAGACCCATTAGTCCTTGTACGGGGTATTTGTTTGTTTTGAGACAAGATTTATCTGTAGTCTCAGGTGGCCTTGAACTCACTATATAGACCAGGCTGGCTTTGATCTCACAGAGATCTGCCTGCCTCTGCCCCTCAAATGCTGGGATTAAAGACATACATGACCATGTCTGGCTCAATAATCCTTAAAAAAAATAAAAATAGTAATAGAAGATATGAATTCTAGTGGGTTGGTAGTAGGGTAGCAGTGGAGATGGAGGAGGAGTTCTGCATGTTATCAAAATACAGTATGAAGAGTGAGGTAAAGGGAAAGAAGGACCTGAGAGAGAAGGATAGGATAAAGTAGTTATTAAGGGAGAACTATGTAAGAAGGGGGTAGTTAAAGGTGGGGAAAGGAGGACTATACAAAGAACTATGGGAATAAAAGGGGAAAAATTCTCCAGATATACAGTAAAAAAAACAAAGAACAAACAAACAAACAAACAAAAAAACCCTAAGCACAGAAGGAACCCTACAGGGATAGAAGAAAGCCCTTTCAAAAGCAATACAGTTGTTAAATGAAAATCCCTGTGCCAGGGGTGTGTTTCCCCTATGAGCTGTTCACCTGGGGGACACTACAGGTCCCCAAAACAATAAAGGCCATTGCCAATAATGTTGATTGTACACTGGAAGTGGACAGAAAAAACCTACTGCTGAATACACTGCATGATGTGAGTGCAGGAGAGGGAAAAAAATCAAGTTTGGACTAAGCTGGAAACCCCCTGACACTGGATAGGTGGATTTCATGTACCAAAAAACAACACACAGATGACTGTAGGAGAATAGTCTCCTATAATTCATCTCAATGATGGACCCAGAATGTTTCATTATCAACATCCAAAACAAGATGTTCCTGCTGGTGCAATAGTAGAGCATCTAGTGTTTGAACAACCAGCAAATTTTCGATTGGATATAATGCCCGCTTTAGGGGTGGAACACACATCTGGTACTGTGGACCCGGCCAACTCCCTGTGGCAGAGGAGAACATAGGCCCCAGTGGGAAGTAACTGCAATTGCTTTGTTAGAGGAAATGATGCACCTGCTAAAGTGCCGACCAAGCATGCATGTTTACACCCATAGGTTAAGTTATTATAGCAGTCACTGTTCAGATGTTCTTGCTTCTTGCTGTGTGTGTTTTTATTTTAGATGGAATCCCACTGAAACTGGCCAGAAGCCCATGGAAAACAAATGATGCAGAGACCTGGAAACTCAGTGCCTTGCTGCAATGGGAGGAAGATCATCCCACATCTACCACCCGCTCCAGGGATCAGGGAGCTTTTCAGAAGAGGTTGGTGGAAAGAATGTCAAAGTCAGAGGAAGGGGTGGAGTGTTAACTGGAAATGTCTTCTGACCACTATGCTGGCAAGCTATAGTCACACCTCCTTCCAATTCTCATCAAGGAGTCAAGGGGGGAGTCATTTACCCCTCCCACCCAATCAGTCGAACTTAGCTGCATGACGGAGGATAGGCAAAGGATATATAAGCCAAGAACACCAAGAGGCACCTCTCTCACCATTTTGTGTGGCTGTCAGGAGGTCACAGGATCTGTATTTGAGTGTGGACTTTATGGCACAGCCATAAATGTGGGGTGCCCACTCTTCTGTAAATAAACCAGTACCCTACACTCTGTTTAAAAAAATAAAATAAAATAAAATAAAGTACCAAAAATGAAATTGTCAAAGAATCAATAAAATATTTTTAAAATGATAATAAACACAGAAATAAGGCAAGGACTTTGACCCTTTATGGATATTCAATTGTCACAGAACCATGTATAAAATTGAAAATGAAACTTCCTTTAGCATGAAATGTTCTAGCCACTGTTATTGATAATCACGTAACCGTAAGTGGTTGACTTTTGGATGCTCAGTTCTATCCCATTGATAAGCATGTCTCGTTTGGTGGCAGCACCATATTATCATAATTACTGTTCTATTGTGTGGAGTTTTGAAATTAGCAAATGAAAGTCTTCCTAATTCATTCCTTTTCAGAACTGTTTTCACTTCTCTGGAATTCCATATGGATTTCAGAATCAGCTTGCTAATGTCCACAAAGAAGCAATCTTGGATTCTGATATGAATTGTGTTGAATATATACATGAGGTGAGGTTAATGTCATCACAGCTGTGCTAACTCTTCTGGTCTGTGAACTGGAATATCTTTCTAGATTTTTTTCTTGAATTCCTTTCAACAAGGCTTTGTAATTTTCAGAATATAGGTTTTACAGCTCTTGATTGTGTACAGTTTTTATTCTACTTTTTACTTTCTATTGTAAAGGGCATTACATTCTTTATTTAGTAAATAAAATTGACTTTATATATTGGCCTCGCATTATGCAAGTTTACTAAACTCACTTATTATAATTCTTATATGTGGATTCCTTCATATATTGTACAAGATTAGCCATTACAGATATGATTTTATTGAAATCTTCTGTGTCTTTTTCTGGCATAGTTCACTGGCTACCACTTCCACCATAATATTGAGTATAAATACTGAAAGAGGACATCTTTATTCCTAATCTCAGAAGTAAGCTTTCAATGCTAAGGATGTGAGCTGTGCATTTCCCTTCTATTATTTATTAATTCATTGTTTTTATAATGAAGCAATTTTTGACTGTTTCAAATCTCCCTCTATATCTATTGAATTTATTATGTGATTTATTTTTAAATTTTATATTTATTACAATAATGGTTTTCAGATGCTGAATCAACCTTGAATTCTAATGCTCCTGCCACCTATTCCCTTCTATGATGTCAGATTCAATTTGTGAATAGTTTTTGAAAATATCTGCCTCACATTCATGAGTACTTTTTCTGTAGCTTTCTTATGACTTTGACTGCTTTTCCTATAATAGTAGAATGAAGCACAAACTGTTCCCTTCTTTGTGTTTTTTAAAGTGTTTATGGACACCTGATGTTGATAATTCTTTAACATTTGGTAGAATTAGGTTTTAGATACATCTGAGCAAGGACTTTATGTTGTGGAAAGTTTTCATTTGTTTGTTTGGCTTGTTTTTAATATTTCACTATCTTCATTCTTATAGATTTATTCAGATTGTCTGTTTCTCCTAGGGCCAGTTCTGGTAGCTTTTACCATTCTAGGAATTTATCCACTTCATCTAATATACTTAGTATATGAGTGTACAATTGTGCTTAGTATTATTTTTTATCACTTTTTATGTCCCCTCTCATTTCTGATTCTACTACTTTGACCTTAGCCTATATAGGTAGTTTATCATTTTTGAGCTTTTTTAAACCAGATATGGTATTATTGATTTTTCTCATTTGTTTTTCTATTTCTTTTCTATTTCTTTTTCTTTTTCAAAATTTTAAAAATATTTTTATTGATTCTTTGGGAATTTCACACAATGTATTTTAGTCGTATTCAAACCCCTCCCCCATCTCCACCCCTACCTTACTAACCTCTCAGCTTCTTTTCTGTTTTCTTATTTTTCTAAAAATCTCTCCAATCTAATTTGTATTCCTTAGTTAGGTCCATTTCTTGAAGCCTGGTCTACCAATTCAATGTCATACCCTTGAAGAAAACTGACTCCCCCTTCCCCAAGCAACTATCAATTCCCAATAGTTCCTCAGCTAAGGTTGGGGCTTCTTGTCCTGCCCCCATGTTGAGATTTTGTCTGACTTGAGCTTGAGTAAGTCTTGCATATGTTGTCATAACTGCTGTGAGTTCATATGTTCAGCTTCCCTGCTGTCTGGAAAACACTCTTTCCTTACAGTCATCCAACATTGCTGATTCTTACAATCTTTCAGTCCCCTCCTCTTCAATGATCCCCCAGCTTTGGGAAGAAAGAGTGTGATATAGGCGTCTCATTTAGGACTGAGCCCTCTGCAAGCTCTTATTCTCAGCATGTAGACCAGTTATGAGTCTCTACATTAATCATCATCAGCTGCAAGAAGGTGAGCATTGAGAGGTGCATTAATCTATAGGTATAGCAGTAAGTCATTAAGAGTTGGTTTAACACTGTGTCCATTTAGGAAAGTAATAGTAGTAGGCTCTCCCCTATGGCCTGTAACTGTCTAGCCACAGGTTATTAGCCCTGAAAACAGTACCAATATTAGCTCCATCTTGTGAATCAGGCCTTAAATCCAATCACAGAATGATTGATACTCAGTAACATTTGTGCCACTATTGCACCAATAGATATGTTTTGCCAGGTCAATCATCATTGTAGCTCACAGTGTTCGTAGTTGGTCTTGGTTACCTCATTCAGGGTGGTTGTCTCCAGTTCCAGTAATTCACCTGTCAATTACATAATTTCACAATTTTACTTTTTCTTAACAGCTGAATAATAGCTCATTGTGTAAATGCACCATACTTTCCTTATCCATTTACGCATTCATAAACATCTAGATTGTTTCCATTTCCTGGCTATTATGAATAGGGTAATAATGAACATGGATGAATGGGTATCTCTGCAATACGATGCAGAGGCCTTTGGGTATAAGTCCAAGAGTGGTATGGCTGAATCATATAGGACACCTATGTTTAACTTTTGGGGGAACTTTCACACTGATTTCCATAATAGCTGCAACACTTGGCACTCCCTCCAGCAGTGCTCCCCCTTCCTCCACATCCATATCAGGATTTGTCATCATTTGTGTTTTAAACCTTAGCCATTTATGACTGGGGTAAGATGATATCTCAAACTAGTTTTAATCTGCATTTCCCTGGTGGCTGAAGAGGTTGATCATATTTTTAAATATTTTTCAGCCATTTGTGGTCCATCTTTTGAGAATACTTTTAGTTCTTTGCTGTAATCTACAGTTGGGTTGTTTGTGTTTTTGATGCTTATTTTATTTTTAGTTCTTAGTATATTCTAGATACCAACCCTCTGTCAGATGTATTTCTACATCTGACAGATTTTTTTCCCCATTTTGTAGGCTGCCTCTTCAGTCAAATGATGGAGTCCTTTGCCGTACAGAAGTGTCTTAGTTTCATGAGGTCCCATTTGTCAACTGTTGGTCTTAATGACTGTTCTATCAGGGTCCTGTTGAGAAAGTCCTTTCCTGTGCCTATAAGTTCCAGTATATTCCTTACTTTCTCTTCTATCTCCTTCTTGGAGGAGACGGTGCTTCTTTCTGTTTCTCAGCATGTTAAACTACCTCTATTCATTGACATTGCATATGTAGTTTTTGTTTTTAGAACTTTTTCACTCTTTCATATATTTCAAGACATTTTATTTCAGTGGCTCCTCCTTCCCCATGAGCTCTTGTGTCATGCTGTTCCCTTTTTCTGAGATGGCTCCTGTAGCACCTTGCTGTTAAAATATAGAGATGGTTAATTTTATTGTGTGTAAATTACACTATTATATACTTTCATTCTTAATAAATATCAAGTTCTATATAGCAATTATATTCAAAAGTCACTGTTTTCTCCAGTGTGTTCCTATATTATGAGCAACTATTCACAAGCTAGGACACAGTAGGTGCTCTCTTACATATGAATAAATACATGAAGGAGACACAATATATTTAGTGCATTCCCAGTTAGTTAATCTGAAGAGTAAGTCAGTTAATATTTATTATATACTAATGATTTATAAAGCATGCTTATATAAAAAAATTAGAAAAATATCTGAATATCTTTTTAGTTTTCTTCAAGGAGTTTCCATAGTGTAGAAGATGATAATCAGAAGTGTGGTTAAAGATATAAGATGCCATGTGTAAAATAAATCAGAACTAGTGAACCTAAAAACTCCATGGTGACACATGAATGCTTAGAGGTCCCTTTGTAGTAGCTCTTTATCAAGAGGAGTCACATCCCAAATATTAGAGTTCCATATGCTTGCCTTAGAACAGAAGAATGATTCTGAAATTACTATGCAAATTTAGTTCAGATTCCAGAAGATGGAAGCAGAAAGAGCACTTCTAATCCTTCTGTTAGGTCAATACCACTCTGAGATAGTTTGAGTTTCTTACACAGCTAAGCCTACAATTCAGCAATTCCACACCTTACCATCATCCAGAGTATGCTTGCACACAGATACTACAGTAGATTTATTCATAATGCCAACTCTAAGAAGTAATAAAGATGTCCTTCCCTACTTGACTGGAGAAAGACTATGTGGTACATATGACAATGGAATATTATACACAGCACTAAAAAGAAATAAGCTATTAACCAGTAAAATGTTTCTTAGTTTCATTTCCTGTTGCTGTGATAAAATACCCTAACACAAGCAATTTAGGGAACAAAGAGTTTAATTGGCTCATATTACAGTCCATCATTGGAGGGAAACCAAAGCAGCAGGAACTTGAAGCAGATAGTTACATCCACAGTCAAGAGCAGAGAGAGGATACATACCCACATACTTGCCATCTCATGCTTGCTCATCTCACTGCCTCCCTTTCATATAGTCCAGGACCCCAAACTCAGGGAAGGTGCTGCCCAGTTTCAGGCTGGGTTTTCCTACATTCATTAAGGTAATCAAGACAATTCCCCACAGACATGCCCATGGGCCAACTTGATCTGGATTACCCACTCCCCCACCCCTTGCTGAGACTCTCTTCCCAGGTGAGTCTAGATTGCATCATGTTGACAAAATTAACCATCACAAACATCATGAGGCAATTAATATTTAGTAAATGAAAAAAAATCTGAAAAGCCTACATGATATGTCATTCTAGCTGTCTCACATGCTAATAAAGTCGAACTATGAAGACAGTAAAAAGCAGCAGTGCCCAGCAGGGATTAGACAGAGAGCAAGGATGGCATCAGGAGGTGGCGCACAGAGGACGTTTCAGTCAGTGAGACTCATCTCCACGATACTGTAATGGCAGATACATGGCATTACGATCCAGTCCAAATCCATGGTGATCTAATGTAAGTTGTGCATTCTGGGTAAGCACATCATTGTAGTTCCATTGATTGTAACAAATATACCACTCTGGTGGGGGATGTTGATAATGAGGGTTTGGGGGTTCAGGAAATCTCTGAATTTCCTCTAATTTGTTGTGAACTAAGTCTGCTCTGAAAAAAAATGGTTGTTTGAAAAATTTACTTAGGGAAGTGAATTACCTCTGTATTCCACTAGAAGATTAAAAG